GCAGATGGAGAGCTCTTGGAGGCGGCACTTGAGGTCATCCGGGCCTCGTTGTCTGTGTTCCCTGAAAAGATTCTGTCAAGCAGTAGCGAGAAGATGTGGTCCAACATCTTGAGATGCCTGTCACATCAATCGACTTCGGTGAAATTGTCATCTATTGGACTGACAAGCTCATACCTGGCCGATTTTGCTCAGCAAGCCAGTGATGTAGCGATTGGTGAAGCAGTGGTCGGCAGCCATGGTCTTACACTTGATTTGCCCAAGGTGCAAAATCTGGTGAGACTTGGTTTGGGTGTCTTGGCGACCCGAGACATTGACGAGAAGCTCGGAGCGGAAGCTGTCCAGGTCCTTGCTTTCTTGGCTCCTCGCCTCCCTCTTCGACCTGTAATTGAAGGTGAGAGGACTGGAGATGATGTGGAGCAAGATCAGCAGGACGAGAAGGAGGAACAGGAGGAAGTGGGGGTCGAGCAGGCTGAGGGGACACAACGAAGGACTGATCTTCAGCATCTGTTCTGGAAGATCTCTCACATTATTCGACGAGAGATCCCCCCTAGGGCTGTTGCCATCACACCAAAGGTGGCTGCGATGGAGCTTCTTGAAACGATTTGCCGGAGATCTTCAGCCGATCGCCTGCGACCATCTTTCAAGACTATCCTGGTACCCCTTCACAATCTTACTGACCCCTCCATCGCACCGCCTTTCTCCAACGACGAACTGTTCAAAACGAGGCACGAGGCCCTCAAGACAAGAGCGCAGATCCTCATGGATTCTCTGCAAAAGAAATTTGGTACGGCTGAGTACTCGAAGCAGCTTCTTGCTATTCGAGAGGAGGTGAGGGCCAAGAGAGAACAGCGTTCAAGCAAGAGAAAGATTGAGGCACTGGCACAACCGGAGAAGTATGGAAGAGACAAGAGAAAGAAGTTTGAGAAGAACAAGGAGCGCAAGAAGACTCGATCAAAGGAGCAGAAGGTCATGCGTGAGTCTTTCAAGCGGTGGTAAAAGCGAAGATGATGGACGACGTTGCATCAACTGGCGTTAGGGATTTGTGCCGTTAGGTAGATTGTTTCTCGGCGTCATGATCTGGACATAGTAAAAGTCATTTGTAGAAGAAGACGAAAGGACAATTCAGTCATTATCAGTTGCAACTTATTCCACCGCCTCTCCACAAGAGGGTTACCTATCAACTAGAACAATATAATTCTGATACATCAGTCCTGTATGAGCTGGATTCGTATCTTTCCTGGGGCTTTCAATCCAGTCCAATCGAAACCAAGAATCGGATATCGGCCTCAGCGTCAGCCTTCACACCAGTCTCTTTCCGACGTCGGGGAACGGTGGTATGGAATCCTCACGCGAAATGACGTCTTGTGCTGATACTAACGACCTGTGTTCATCAGAATGTTTGAATTAAGCAAGAGTGTCGGAATTCCGAACACTCAGCATCGTTGAAGCTCGTCATAGTTAGGAACTCCGAGTCCCACTCCAACCCATCTTGAACAAATGCACGAAAAGGGGCTTCACAATGGACTGATTCCGAATCCAATAAAACACTATGCAATACAGGTCTCCCTAGATAAAACTCAAAACTCATCAGATCAACACTCCCCTACGCCGTACAAGTCAATCATGGGCTCGCAAGGAGAAGGTGTCTATAAAACTATGACTGCGGGGAAGCTGTTACGCCAGAGGATAGAAGCGGGTGATTTCATCTTTGCTCCTGGTGTATACGACGGATTCTCTGCGCGCATTGCGCTCGAGGTTGGATTTGATGTCCTGTACATGGTTAGTCTGCTATGCTTTACTATCAAAACTTCGACTGACGAGTATCGACTGACGAGTATAGACTGGAGCAGGAGTCACGGCATCCATTCACGGATGTGCTGACCTGGGGATCGCAACACTGAACGACATGCGGCGGAGCGCAGAAACTATCGCCAGTTTGTCACCATTTACGCCTGTCATTGCCGATGCAGACACCGGGTACGGCGGACCAATCATGGTGGCACGTACGGTTGAACAATATTCACGCTCAGGTGTCGGGGCGCTACATATCGAAGACCAGGTGCAGACCAAGCGATGCGGTCATCTCGCTGGAAAGGTCCTGGTGGACTTGAAAGAGTATTTGGCCCGTATACGGGCTGCCGTGCAAGCACGCCGAAGGATCGGAAGCGATATAGTCATTATTGCGCGGACAGACTCCATCCAGAAGCATGGATATGAAGAAGCACTGACACGGCTCCGTGCTGCACGCGATGCCGGAGCTGATGCAGCATTCCCCGAGGGTCTTCGATCGGTCGAGGAAGCGCGGCGGATGATCGCAGATCTCGCACCATGGCCAGTATTGCTGAATATGGTGGAGAATAGCGTCACGCCGAAGCTTTCAGCTAAAGAAGCAAAGGACTTGGGGTTCAGCATGATGATTGTGCCGCTGGCTACGCTGGCTCCCGCTTATACTGCAGTCAAGGCTGGTCTGCAAAAGCTGAAGGAAACCGGCTTAGCAGACACAGAGCTTACACCACAGGATCTATTTCGAGTTTGTGGACTCGATGAGTCGATGAAAGTTGATGAGGATGCTGGAGCTTCCAACTTTGAAGGTGGCGTGGACTGAGCGTCTTAAGGATGCCGTGCTATGCTCAAGGCTGGCCACCAAACCGTCTTGCATAGAAGACATTGTATGTAGCTCCTCAAAGCATCCATGCTTCCTCTACCCAATATAATCAATATTCAGAGGGAAGTTCCAGTCCATGTAAACCTCGGGGAGGTTGGATAATTCGAAGCTGTCGCCCACAGGCGCAACTGTCGAGGTCCAAAACGTGCTGGCATCTGTGTCATCCATCTGAGCAGATTCTGGTGCAGTCTTGTTCGTGTCGTATGGGCTGCCTTGCCCGTTGTATTCGACTCGCCACCACCAAAGAGAGTCGAATACCACGCTCATAAACTATAGCAGTTAGGTGAGTAGGCCTGGAGCATTTTCTCTTGCACGTACCAAACGACTACGGATCCTGAGATCCAACCCATTAGCTGTAGTAGTATCCGTCGCATCGCTATTTGACCATAACTGCGAGAGAATGGTCCCATACCTCTCATCCAGGTCGCCGTGTTGCATGGAACGCCTCTTGACGGATGAAATCGCCTTAAACAACGACTGTTGAGCATCACGCAGGTCAATGTGCTCTTTCAGCTGGCTCCGGACTATTCGTAGGATGCAAAACGCCGCTAGCAAGGCCATGCGGGTATAGTAGTTTGAAGCATATAACGCAAAGTCCTGCATGGCATCTAGGCGAGACACGACATCGAGAACTTCTGTGGCTATCGAGAAGGTTGTGATCAGGCCCGGTTTCTTTGAGTCATGACTCTGCAGGAAGAAGTAGTATGCTGATATTGCGAGACGGGTGCAGCAGCGGGTAAGGTAGCCTGGTAAGTCAATTAAATTCAGTCCAATGACACTTTACTTGAGGTCGGCTCGCACATACATAAGTCGTCACGGAGAGGGAGCGGGATGGCTTCCACTTGTTCGCTGAAGATCCTGATGAGTGGTAGCAACGCCTTACTGCCCTCGCCCTGCTCGCTTATGATATCGCCAAATGCTCTAGTGGCATCAATCAAGATGTCATGGCACTTGATGCGGTAATGGAATGAGGCGTCCACGACCTCCTCGAGCCTAGGTTTCCTCTGGTAGGGCTTGGACTCGGAAACTGAAAGATGTGGGAGGCCATCACACAGGCTCGTCCTGTTCATCTTGAGCGGGTAGCATGGTTTAACAGACTGGAGAACTTACGCCTGGAAAACTAAGCAACAGTTGAGCCAAAGATGAGCCCTGATATCTCTCATCTCTTTGGACAATGAAGTGTGCGTCCGTGCAAAGTCTTGCTCGCGGCCGTCGACGAAGAGCCCATTCTGAACGGCGAGAGAATGGGCCGTGGCTGCATACACATGTGAAGGATCTTTCCACATCGTGTCTACTGGCAGAGGCCAGAGACACAGGATCAGGGAGCTTTTTATAATGGGAATAGGGTTCGTAATGTGTAAAAGGGGCTGGAATGTTCCGCCTCTGATGTGTTGAGCAGCTACCTGGTGCAGCTTCGTGGCATGCTCCAAGTGCCTGGCACCTGTGACAGTTATTGTCCAAAACAGGAGGGAAGACTCTTTGAAGCACGATTCGTAGTTCACATAGTTTTCGCTGAAGACTCCAGGCAGAAGCTTGCTGTAGTGGTTGAAGAACCTAGCAATTTCAGTTGGGCGATCCATTTACTGCATGTGGTGGTAGACAACACTTACCGAGCAAAGCAATCGTCTATCTGTTTGACCGCAATATCCTCTCGGCCCAAGATTTCAGCAAGTGACGAAGATCGGTCTGACTGTACAGTATATGATGGGTCAGCTTGAAGCGATGGCCCCGCCGCGGTATAGATCGAGGCACTGCTTGAAGTTCCTACAGCCGTGCGATCGGATCGAGCTGGCGAGGCGTCTACAGTAGCCTCTGGGGCCTCCACTATATTGTTGCATTCTATATGCATGCGTTTGCAACGTGAACATGGCTGTCCGTGGCGCTGGTACAAGTCACATCTCAACTATGAGCCATGAATTAGCATATCTCAATTGTCCTGGATCCAACTAAGTCTTGAACCTTTTGTCGCCTGCAACGAGCACACGCCTTCATGCGACTTGTCATATGCATGATTGACTCCTCTGAAGCTACAGGGGACAGTTCAACAAGGGCCACCGTATTGCCCGAACGTTTGATTTATTGCTTATGAATTTGGAATTAGGAGATGGAACGACTTGTCCACGATCAGCAGGCATTAGTTGTTGTGTATATACGGAATTCCGACTGCGGGTTCTTCGGCAGATCGACGCGGGGTTTAAGTCTCCGGCATATGCATTGTTTTTACTAGAAACTAACTAACTTAGAGCATAAAGAAGCGGAAACTTTATTGTTCCCCAATTCAACGTCCATGTGATAGCTGATGAAGATCGTTCTGGGCTTCACCATACCAACCAACTCAAACAACATACCGGAACCCCCTTGGACGATCATCGCCTTCCACTCCTACACCGGCACTTTCAACCATTACTCTGTCCAGTCGCTTATTCTCCCAGCAAAGTAAGAGTGAGTAGGTTATGCTAAGTAGCACGACCAACGAGGTAAACCCACAGGAGATCCAAGCACCCTTGTGATAGTACGGTCCCTGGTCTTTGGGGAATATGTTGGTGCCAACCAAGGGCCCGAACTGGCCCAGCGTAGCGAATATTGCCCACCCACCAGCGCGCTTGCTCTCAGTGTCGTGAACGCTCGAAACCCATGGAAGAAGAATGCTGATACTGACAAAGATCTGTACACTGAGGAAGACTCCCGCGTAGCGAGCAGCAACCCCCTCGGAAACACCAAGAAGACAGTATCCTACCGTTGATACAATCGCAGCAGCGGCCACAAAGGGTCCACGCAGCTTCGCGCGGTCGCTGGCAAAAGCACATGCTAGAATTGTGACAAAGCAGAGAGCGTAAGGGGGAGCCGACAGTCCATTGCTTTCCTGGTGGTTGAATGTGCCCATTTCGGAGATGATGGTTGGGATGAAGAGAGGCAGCGAGCCGAAGCATACGTTGCACGAGAAGTACATCAAGCCTGGCACATAACCTAGCACAATAAGTCATCAACCCTAGCATGTGAAGAATAATGGAACTACTCACTCCGCCAGTCCAAGAATGCTGAACGCCATTCTGCCCAGCTAACCCTTCTCGCGCCCCGTGAGTCGACAGTCTGTCCCCGTCCAACACATTGCCAGGCAACTTCTTTCTCTCTATCGGTGAGAAATTTGGCGCTGAGAAGGTCATCCGGCAGATAAAACCATGCCAGGATGGCAACGATCCATACTGGTAACCCTTCAATGAGGAACAGGCATCGCCATGGCGCAACCGAGCCCCGAATACCCAGAATAGCATATCCCAAAACGCCTCCATATGCGTTTGCAAGGGCAGATCCAGAGAGGAAGATGCCCTGGCGGAAGCCAACTTTGTCTCTCGGGTAGAAGAAGGACAGATATAGAGGCACACCGGAAAACATGCCTTCGAAACAACCGAGCAGCACACGCAGGACGACCAGACTGGCGTAATTGGTGACGGCGGCTTGACAAGCCGATATGGTCGAAAAACCTATAGCAGAGAAGAAAACCCATTTATGTGGAGGGAATCGCTTCAAGCCAACGGCCGTCCACTGAGAGCAAATGTCTGTTTTCTTGTCAGCGACACGAATCTGGCTACTCCTGTTGGTTCAGTGCAGTGACTCACACGCGATATAGAAAGCCGTTCCAAGCCAGTCGTAGCGTTTGCCCTCCAAGTTCACAGAATCTGTCAGTCCTGCAAGACGAGCATTGCCCAAGTTACTGCGATCCAGGTTGGAGAAGGTGTAGACCAGGAACAAAAGAGGCAGAATATGTAAATCAAGCTTGCGCATAACGGCCTTCTCCTCAGCTTCTGTGACAAGAGCCATTCTGTCGCCAGTGATAGGACTTCTTTGCTCCGTCACCCTCTCAAAGGTATCCTGCTGAGCCTTTTCTTCAGACATGATAGATCGTTGAGGTCTCGATGGTATTTGCCTTGATAGGTGCGTAATACCAGACAGTTTCTCGACAGAAAAGCTGGGTGGTCTACATCAGACTCTCTCGCCTATACTCGCGGTTTTAATACTTCCACAACCTGAAAGCAGGGCGGGTAATGCGAACCTTCAGTAGCCTCGAGGATCTGTCGAGGGTGGCATGGACGCAGTCTGAGGGTAAGAGACGGCTCGGAACTCCGATATTGGCATCCTCCAATACAAGCGCATAGTCCCAGGAGATTAGCATCAGTCTATTCATTCACCCATAGTGACCCAATCAACTCCCACTGTAAGTTACGTGATAATACCAAAGTTTACTAGGAATGGCACGGGTCAGAATGTAACTATAGCATTAGAGGTGATCTCGGGCCTCCTCGTAGCTTCTTCTTGTTAGCCCGCCTGGGTACGTAGCTAATATGTCATTCGGAATTCCGATCGAAACCGGCATAACGTTTGTGTAGGGCTTCGAACCAAGACAACTCCGATACCTTCAACTTGATGAACCGACCAGACAGGAAAGCCTGAGCAACATCTCGTTGAATACCGAATCTCACCGCAAAGGGGTCGTATATAAGATGCTCGAGTGACCTAGGGCCGTGGCGTCCTTCTATCCCTTCGTAATCTACCAGCGCCTTCAGCATGATTGATCCAAAACCTGAGTCATCAAGCCCGACGGTGCAACTGTCACAATGGGTCTCAAAGCTAAAGCTGGATGACATCCCAGACCGAGTGCGCACCCGAGCAAAGTACCTAATTCTCGATGGACTGGCGTGTGCGTTCGTCGGATCTCACCTACCTTGGTCCGAGACGGCAGCGCAGGCTATCCTCAACCTGGAGCCAACACAGGGAGACGCCTCACTCATTGGGTGGGGAGGACGCAAGGTTACCGCTCTCACTGCCGCGCTTCTGAATGGAACCTTTATCCAGGGTTTCGAGCTGGATGACTGGCACAGCGACGCTCCCCTTCATTCCAACAGCATCATTCTGCCAGCTCTACTTGCCGCTGCGGAACAAGCCAATGCACAAGCTTCTCGCTTCACATCCTCCGGACAAGACTTCCTGCTCGCGACTATCGCGGGCTACGAGACAGGGCCACGTGTAGGGCGTTCCCTCTGGGGCACACATGTTCTCTCATCGGGCTGGCATTCTGGAGCAGTCTTCGGACCTGCTGCTGCTGCCGCCAGCGTCAGCAAGCTTTACGGGCTCGATGCGGACAGAATCGAGGATGCTTTTGGGATAGCATGTACCCAGTCATGCGGGCTCATGTCTGCCCAGTTCGAGAGCGACGTAAAGCGCATGCACCATGGGTTTGCAGCACGGAACGGTCTTTTGGCTGTTGTCTTGGCACAAGGTGGCTATGTTGGTATCAAGAAAGTCTTCGAGCGCGAGTATGGAGGCTTCCTGAAACAATTCAGTTCTGGAAATGGGAAGCAGCCCCAATATCGACTGGAGGAGTTGACGAGCGAGCTGGGAATCAGGTGGCAGACGGATGGCATTAGGATCAAGCCGTACGCAGCGATGGCAGGTACACATCCCAGCATTGACTGTATCCGTCATCTCCAGGAGAAACATCCCGATAGGCTGAAGAGGTTCGATGAGATAAAGAAGATCGACATCCTTCTTGGCGAAGCTGCTTTCCATCACGGGGGCTGGAAAGCCGTGAAGCCTCTCACAGCAACCGGAGCCCAGATGAGCAACTCGTTCACGGCGGCCACACAAATTGTACATGGACAAGTGTTGATGCCACAATTTACCCCTGAAATGCTCGTTAATAAGGATGTCTGGAGACTTGTCGATCTCATTGAGTGCAAACTCCTTGTTACTGATGGCGACTCAATCGGCTGTCAAGAAGTGAGGATTATGTTTGAAGACGGGACAGCCCTACATCACGGTGTTCCGAATGCATTCGGCGTGGATCCACCCCTATCCAATGAAGATATCGTGTCCAAATGGCGGCAACTAACCAAAGGCATTGTTGAGAGTGAAGTTGTAGCAAAGATTGAGGAGATAGTGTTGTCTTTGGAAGAGCAGGATGATCTCGTAACATTGTTTGAGCTTATTCGTCAAGCATCAAAGAATCCGCTGGCCAGATAGAGCTACATTATGTTCCTTGGAAGGTGGCAGTAACATTTACTATATAACGGACTGGTCCTAAAATAAAGGTATTCTTGTTTCAAGTACTGCTAGGCTAGCACAGTTCGCTAGTAACGGTCCACTGACCACAGAGATACTGTAGCCTGCTCTTTTTCCCGCCCCCGAAGCGTGTGACTAGGCTCTGAACCATGGGGAACATGGCATGAAGTCAGCAAAGCACATTGTGTGTATAGGTAGTGTTTTTTTTTTAAAAAGCTCATGTATAAATCCAGAATAACACAACATGTGAGTCTAGAACAACCCTGATGTTCAAGAGTATAATTTCATCATTCAAGAGTACTCAAAGCTTGAGGCAGAGGAGGATAAGCTTGTTTGAATTCCATGTCTATATCTTCAGTCCCGGGACCCTCAGTGGAGGGTATCCATCAACGCCAACCAATGCTTTTGCCCAACCTAGGCATTGTACAAACCTCACATTTTTCACTCTATCATTACATCCCTCTAGTCACAGGCCATCAGGAGCTCTTGCCTTCACCAGCCTCAATGTCTGCTGGAAGAGATTCCTCTGGCCAAAACTCAATATCGCCATCTTCGCCTAAACTTCCCCTCTTAACAAGACGACCCTTTTCCCTCATAAGGTCTTCGATAGTGACTTTCCTGTCGCCAAAGATGTTCAAGTGGTCGCTGATGACGTGTCTGTTCCTGCACTCAGGACATGTGATGAGCGTAGAGCCATAATGGTAGCCCTGCTTAGAGACATTGTGGTGGGAGCGATGCCCGCATGGAATGCACGTAAACGATAGCTGGTAGTGCGACGCCTTGATCTCGGGCCTTTCTCCTTCGCTTTTTGGCGTCTCACCAGTTTGCGCCTGCTCGGGGTTCGGTTTGGCGTATGTTTGGGTAGGTGGTCGGGGAATGTTATGCGCTGCGCGGAAAGACTGGAGGTTTGTAGTGGCAGGGCGGATAAAAGGAGCGCGCAGGGATGTTGAGGAGCGCTGCGGTTGCTTTGGTAGCTGGCGCAGGACTTTGGAGGCGAAGGAAGGCGTCCGTGAGGCCATTGTGCGTAATTTGATCGACTCGAAAGGTGAAGGTCAGGGAAATGTTTTCATGACATGGAAGAGGAAACGTCTTGGTCTTGAGACGTCATTTGTGGGGCTACCCATGTTAGGAAAGATGATGGAAGGTCAGCGAATCATATCGTTCCTATCACTTACACGTCTTTCACAAGCTGCACACTAACTAGACAATCCGTCAGTGTCTTCTTTTTAACTTGATCTCCGGGGACAACATACCAATCTCCGTGGGAAGAGAGCATACAAACCGTGTGAAAAACGCATGGATTTTTATGATCATAAGAACGACCACATCCGATTCGATCTGCCTCAGGATCCATGATTGCTCCTTGGCCATTAGTTAGGATGTGAAGATTATAACGGAGCGGAGATATTACTTACTGTAGTAGTCTGTGTCCTTTTGTTTACGATTGGGCCTGTCTTTGGCAATGAGCCAGAAGTTCGCAGCAGACTCGAAAGTACGTCTTTGTGGTTGACCCTCGCATGTGGCTGAGGGCTCTGTGTATACAACAGTCCTTTTTAAATTATCAGGTGCCGAGGCGTCACAGCCCAATTGGACGGCATAGTCTTGCGCTCTGGAGGCAAGGGTAGAGTCCCAGATCAAAGGGCGGTACCCATTGCCAGAACGTGCTGAATTAAGCCTGAATTGGCCATGCACGATGTCTTGCGCTTCCATTACCGAATCTCCATGACTGAAGCCCATGTAACACAACGAGACAGCGAGAGTTGTGAGTCGCATGGCTGGAGGACTTAGGGGTATGTTCTAAGTAATGAAAAGACTTGGGTAGGCTTGGTATAATTCCAATGCCTTAGAAGTGTGATGGGCCAGGCGCGGTTGCAAAGGTCGACTGAAGGCCCTTTGGATAGGTAGGATGAAGGAGGAAGAAAACAAAGAAAGGGGTAAAGGGTAAAGAGAGAAAAGAGGAAACTGGTATTAATACTGCTTGGCCAAGGCAGTTAAGTTCAACTAGAGCTTAATGATAGGGTAAGTCGCGAATACAAAATAGGTGTTAAAAAGAAAGTACTAATAAACATCTAAGAGGCTTAAGATAAAATAAAAGGTATATAAGAGTTATTAAGGCTTAAACTGGGTTAAGGAGTGGGCATATACTGGTTAAAGTTAGGAGTTAAGTGAAGTTAGGTAAAGGTCAAAAGGAAGAGGGAGGTAAGGGAGGGAGGTAAAGGCATAGAGAAAAACATGGGGTAGGCACTGCTTCCTGCTCCTTCTGTTCTGATTTAAGCTATCAGCAATAAGTCTTAACTGCAAAGAACATATCTAGCTTATAACTTAGATCTTAGGACGCAATATCTGACCAGTTACTCTAGCATAAAGCTGGTACTATAGAAACCTAAAACACAACTTATTTGCCCGCCATCCCCCAAGACAATCAAATGCGGCACCAGGAAAATGAAGGCAGCAATTTAGTCATTGAGGCAGATGAACCTTATGTTGTTTTGACTTCTGTGAAAGTCAGCAAGGGAAGTCTTCACTTCCTAGGAAGGGGCTCCTGAGCAAAATAATCAAAGCAAATAATTCATCCATCCTTTGTCTTTCGCATGCATGAGATGACCTCTGCCTTTATGGTAACCATCACAAAACAAAGAGGGAGTGGTAACATCCTGTATTATAGCATGGAATAGACGGTGAAATCAAGAGTTTGCTTTGCTAGTAGTAATAAACCCGAACCTTCCTTCGTGGTATCCATCTCGTCTTTCAATTGTAACGATGTCTACAGGGTAGGCACCAGCTTATATAATCAGGGCCGGTCGATTGGCCCGTGCACTCTGCCCTGCAGGGGGAACAAACGAGCGACGCGATCGAGAAAAAGGTCCCCGTTCGCGCGACTCCATCAAGCATTGAACGTTGAAGCCATCGCGACAAACAGAAAACTCCACATATCTCGACACCTTTAGTTCACATCGATAGTGTCATCATCATCGGGCAAATTTTGGCTTCTGAATCACTTGTATCAATTCCAGCAACCGACGATAGAGAGAAGAGAGACTCTTCGCGTGTTGGCGTAGCTCGTTTCCCTCAGCATGAGATGACCATCGAAACCTCATAGCACACACAATGGAACGATCAAAGCCCCAGGCTTTCTTGACGAGCTACGCGCCGCGACTACGCGCCTACAACAACTCTCTCCTCACGCCCGTTCTACCAAGCAGCGCGCCCGCCGGACCAGCTTCGAGAACCACAAAGCGAGGGACGACGATCATAAATTATGCTGAAGATGGCTACGATGACCTGGAAGATGATAGCGACGACCCTAGACGACGACCGACGGGACTGAGGAGCTTGCGAAAGGAGGACTCGGTCAACAGACAAGACCTCGCCGACAAGATTGGCAAAGACACCAAAGAGCCTGTCGAGGTGCAGGGCGTCTGGCGCGATTGGATCGCCAAACACAGGCTGCTGAGGAGCGACCAGCAGAATGCCGTTCAAGCAACATTGCCTCTCACCCTGATTCCGATTCGAATCGATGTGGATGTTCCCGCGTTCATCCCACCAGCTCCATATCCCATGCCACATAACCCGAGTGCAGTGGACACCTCACTCCCTCAGTATCGTCAACAGGAGGCGACAGTGCCGTATAAACTTCGGGACATCTTTTGCTGGAATCTGCACGAGACTCTTATCTCTACCGATCAGTTCGCCCAAACTCTAGTGCAGGACCTCGATCTGCCTAACCGGCAGGCAGTCATTGCTGATATCAGCAAGCAAATCCGGACGCAGCTTGAAGAGTACTCGGGCGTTGCTCTTCACCCACTATTTCACAGTGACCCCCAGGCCCTCTCTGTTCCACAGCCCACGACTGCTGCACTGACGCCGCGGCCAAGCTTCGCGCTGAAGTCTCGGGATGACTCTCCCGTCTCCGCCATCCGAGGGGCGTCCCGGCCTGACACTCCGGCGCAGACTGGAGGCGCGGCCACTCCTTCACAATCCCAAGCTCCCGATGTCACCGCAGAGGCGACGCCGATCCTTCCTGAGTCTGACGACTACAACCCCGACGATACCTATCGATGCATCATCAACCTGAACCTCAATCTGGCATCAATGCTCTACACTGATAAGTTTGAATGGTCTCTATTGCATCCGCCTGGAACCGCCGAAGCGTTCGCCAAGGTCACTTGTACAGATCTTGGGCTGACAGGAGAGTGGATACCGGCAATGACGCATGCCATCTACGAAGCGGTTCTGCGGCTGAAAAAGGAAGCCTGCGAGGCCGGCGGCCTCGTTGCTGGATGGGGTGGGATACAGCAGGAATTACCAAACGATGCTGCCCATGGCTCTGAGGCTGGTTGGAGGTATGACCCGGAGCACCTTGGAGATGATTGGGAGCCGAAAGTAGAATTCCTGAGCAAGGAAGAGATTGAGAAGCGAGAGGGCGACCGAGAACGAGAAGTTCGTCGATTACGCCGTGAGACGGCGCGGTTCAGCTCTACAACAGGCATGCTCGGAGGTACGCCCTTCGGTGCGCCGATGGAAGTCGAGGAGGAGAGAATGGGGCGAGGCGAACGGTCCAAAAAGAAGCGGCGTTTCCGAAGCTTGAGTCCGCTTGGCCGAGGTGGTACACCGGGAGGGCGAGGGACACCAGACGTTGGGGGATACGGCGGTGGCGGAGCTTTGACAGACCAAGAGAGATATCAATGGAGGTGCATGCACTGCAGGATATGGGGCACAAGCGTCTGGGCTGTGAGAGATGGGCCAGCAGGTCCAAGAGTAAGTTCGACGCTTGGCGGCTCCGTTTTCATTGCTAACATTACTCAGACTTTATGTGCCAACTGTGGTTATCTCTACGAGCGTGACCAGAGACTGCCCCGTCAAAGCAAAAACATCCATATATCAGATATCCGTGGATAAAGATCCTACTATTCTGGTTTTGACAAGGAGAAGACATCTGGCTGTACTCGGTTTCTCCTGCAAACCATACAAGAAAGCGTGAAAGCCGGGCCAATATCATTCGATGCTTCGGTTCTGATCATTGAGGCAACTGAACGGCATCCACCTGTTTTCACGGGTAGTGACGAATAGTACTGGCAGCACGTCACCCTGACAGCCAGTGATGGTGATGTTTGTTTTTTGCGAGCAAAAGCTTTTTGAAGGTGGAAATTGCAAGGGATGATTATACGGCGTCTCGGGAGGATTTACGGTTCCTCATATGGATGATACTTTCTCCCCTATCTTTGGAACGTTGGTAATTGTGGGAAGCGCATGAGATGCAGTATCGCGAAGTACGCATCCTTGTAGATTATATTGATGCCCGGTGGTTTACAAGGGGTGTTTGTGATGCGTCCATTGACACTCTAGCATCTTGAATTATAGATGGGTTGAGCCTAACTCAGAACTATGCTTGTATGAAGAGCAACGCAGCGTGAGGTGGTTAACCTATAGATATGATTTTCTCCTAGTCTACCTTTGTAGGTAGACATGTGCAGATTATTCATGCCTAGGTAGGTACTTACCTAGAGAAAGGCACTGTAGGCGATATGCGGTCATCACGTGTGCCAGCTTGCCCAGACCTCCATGTTTCCTAAACCTGACCACAACAACCTCATTCTATCCTTGACATGGCCCCGTTAGGCAAAATACTTAACTTCACCAGAGCATCATGCGTACTATCCACATATGCAAGTCACCTCTGGACCCTTGCTATTGCATAGCATTACATTGGCTGTCGAGCCACCCAGACAAAGCCGCACCACGCTTTGGGGTAATCCGGAAGAACCTCCTCCACGATCCAATCCGTCCACTCTAATGCACCACATCACAGCCTAAGGAACGATTAACTTACACCCCGCACTTCTGAAATGGGCTATTCTGTATCTTCCGAAACAGTGGGTATCACGTTCCACTGGGGTACTGGACGACTTTGAGACGCCCCCAAGGCGGTTCGAGCCGAGAAGATGCTGCCGATTCATGCAGGGTTGATGACTTTGATACCCCCTCGTTAGCCGTCTTCCGTGTCTGGAAAAGGCATTCCGTTCGAGAGCCTCGGCAGTCTGAGGAAACTGTATCATCGTTGCAAGTGCTTCGAATATTGAAGAACAGAAGGTAACACTGCTCAGGATCGAGGCGGCGAAAAACAATAACAACAGCGTGGACAGGGCTCATAAACCAAGTGCAGCCAGTCAAAGCCCGACGGAACAATTGAATCACCGTAGCATTCATGTCGATTGTGCGCTGCACATTCGCCAGCCATCACATGAGACTACCAGTCGCAGACAAGACCTGGCTACCTGTCTGCTCGCCTGGCAAGGTCTTTACACATGGCCGGCAGGAGAATCCTGGTCTATAGCCAACAATATGCCGGGGTTACAGCCACTATCTCGGTCATGATGTATCCGAAACTGCTGAATTTGGACGAGAAAGCTCTCCAAACCCTCACCTCCATGCGCTATGTCAGGGGTTTAACTTCTGCCACCTCCGCATTGCCCGGCAGCTGACCAACAACAGCTGTTTTTTCGAGATGGGCATCGGCGCACAACGAACACATGAACAAACTAAATTTGACGGAAATTCTCTTCCACGGTACCTGCAGTTGCCGCCTTGAGACTTCTTTTAAGCGGACGGACTGAATCCCGAAGTACCGCGAGATCCCCTTTACCAGGACAGCTCATTTAGGTTCCACGGCTGTAATTGTTCCACCATCAAGAGCATATGAGCTATGAAACTTGGATTCGAATATACATCGCCAATGTTTACGAGTTCCGGTTTACAGATGGGAAAAGTGACATCAGGGCTACCAAAGACGGATCAACAGACAGTGTGATGTACAGGTGCCTTTCACCTCCATTAACAGATCAATATGCATAAATTGTCTCCAAAAGGATATATAATCTTTACCGGAGCTACGGCCCATGGAAGCGATGTCTACTGAGGAGCATTGTGCCCGTGGTGTAAGGCACCCGTGGATTTCAAACACAGGCTTCTCCATATTGATACCAGACGAAGTTGTGACAGCACCGCATAATTGGTAAACACCATGCTCGAATAGTGGCAAATGGGCCAAAGCTTTGGGTCCTTGAGAGAACCAACAGTTTGTGGGGTCAGCCTCCTCACTAGAAGTACGGCTAAGTGCAATCAACCCCGGGCGGAGATCCATCTGGTTAAGATGGCAGGGTGACTGAATGGTGACCGTTCCCTCCTAGTTGCCTTTCCGGGACTGGTAACTAGACTACCTCACGATCATTCTATGGATTATATCACGGGTCCCATTAGTCCACGGCAAAATGATGATGGAAGCGACGGCCCGAAAAACGAACGATGTTCCTATCCTTCAGATGCCCGTGAGAACAGTAATCTGGAAACTTGCTCTTATTCTTACACGGCCTCGTTAGCCCAAGTTACAGGGTCCCTCCAATGAGCGAAGATCGTGAGTGCAGCCTCTTCGGAGGCCAAATATTGCTCTCCTTCGGGAACTGCGGACCGGCCTACTCGTTCTCTTTGCTACTGTAGGTATTCATCGGACACTTACCGTACGCCACCGGAGGCTATCACGGAGATCGGCTCAGGAACTGCCCCCTGCAGTCACCGTACCTCGTTGTGGCTCTACTCGACAAATCTCCGCTCTGGAAGCATGCCATGCTTTGCCTGTTATTACCAAGTGGGACATCACTGGCTTAGCAAGGTTCTTCTTGCATTCGTATTGTCCAAGGGCATGCGGCCCGCGACCCGATTATCTCCTGAAGCTACGAAGATGGAGCCTCATCGGTATGGCGGCTTCTCTTGATGTTGATCACTCCTTTCTTTCAAATCTGGGCATGGGTGAAGGGGACCATCTTCTAAGTTCCAGATCTTCTTGTTGACGAGTATATAACAAGCTCGGATTCCCAATTCAAATCAAACTTACCACTCCTCACTCATCACAACTTCTTCAGTCAACCCAGTCTCATCTATCCAACGGTCTAGCTTCACTTACAATGTATCGCATCGTCGCAACCGCCTCGGCTCTTATTGCCACTGCTCGGGCTCAGCAGGTCTGCTCTTTGACCACCGAGACCAAGCCTGCCTTGACCTGGTCCAAGTGCACATCTAGTGGCTGCAGCGATGTCAAGGGCTCCGTTGGTATTGATGCCAACTGGCGATGGACTCACCAGACCTCTGGGTCTACCAACTGTTACACCGGAAACAAGTGGGACACCTCCATTTGTACTGATGGCAAGACCTGCGCCGAAAAGTGCTGTCTTGATGGCGCCGACTATGCTGGCACCTACGGAATCACCTCCAGCGGCAACCAGCTCAGTCTTGGATTCGTCACCCAGGGTCCCTACAGCAAGAACATCGGCAGCCGAACCTATCTCATGGAGAACGAGAACACCTACCAGATGTTCCAGCTTCTGGGCAACGAGTTCACCTTTGACGTCGATGTCTCTGGTATCGGCTGCGGTCTGAACGGTGCCCTCTACTTCGTCAGCATGGACGAGGATGGTGGCAAGGCCAGGTACTCCGGAAACAAGGCCGGAGCCAAGTACGGAACTGGTTACTGTGATGCTCAGTGCCCTCGTGATGTCAAGTTCATCAACGGAGTTGTAAGTATTGACCTAGATCGCGATTGCAGCTTTGGGATAGACGCTAACCAGTACTCCAGGCCAACTCTGAAGGCTGGAAGCCCTCTGACAGTGATGTCAACGCCGGTGTTGGTAACCTGGGCACCTGCTGCCCCGAGATGGATATCTGGGAGGCCAACTCCATCTCCACAGCCTTCACTCCTCATCCTTGCACCAAGCTCACTCAGCACTCTTGCACTGGCGACTCTTGTGGTGGAACCTACTCTAGTGACCGATATGGCGGAACTTGCGATGCCGACGGTTGTGATTTCAACGCCTACCGCCAGGGCAACAAGACCTTCTACGGTCCTGGATCCAACTTCAACGTCGATACCACCAAGAAGATGACTGTCGTCACCCAGTTCCACACGGGCAGCAACGGACGTCTTTCTGAGATCACCCGTCTGTACGTCCAGAACGGCAAGGTCATTGCCAACTCCGAGTCCAAGATTGCAGGCAACTCCGGTAGCTCTCTCACCTCTGACTTCTGCTCCAAGCAGAAGAGCGTCTTTGGCGATATCGATGACTTCTCTAAGAAGGGTGGCTGGAGCGGCATGAGCGATGCTCTGTCTGCCCCCATGGTCCTTGTTATGTCTCTCTGGCACGACGTAAGTCTAACGCAGACCCCCCCAAGCCATTCATACCTGGAATAGGAACATCACATACTGACTTTTCTCTACAGCACCACTCCAACATGCTCTGGCTCGACTCTACGTACCCAACCGACTCTACCAAGGTTGGATCCCAGCGAGGTTCTTGCGCTATCACCTCTGGCAAGCCCTCCGACCTTGAGCGAGATGTTCCCAACTCCAAGGTTTCCTTCTCCAACATCAAGTTCGGTCCCATCGGAAGCACCTACAAGAGCGACGGTACCACCCCCAACCCCCCTGCCAGCAGCAGCACCACTGGTTCTTCCACTCCCACCAACCCCCCTGCCGGCAGCGTCGACCAATGGGGACAGTGCGGTGGCCAGAACTACAGCGGCCCCACGACCTGCAAGTCTCCCTTCACCTGCAAGAAGATCAACGACTTCTACTCCCAGTGCCAGTAAAGGGGCTGCTGAGCTATCTAGCATGAGATTGAGAAACGATGTGATGAGTGGACGATCAAGGAGAAGTGCGTGGATGAGATGGACTTGATGTGGGAAAGACAGGGGTTGGCTTTCAGTTTTTCCGAGTACTTTGTGCTCTTCTTTTGCCCTTCGTTTGTCTCGCGCAATAAAAAGCGACCTTTGCCCCTATTGTTAGATACATCGGTAGAAAATAGTTACAACTGTCGTTATCAACCTATATCTTACTCGACTTGCTTTAAAAATTTCTATATGAGCAGCTGTTCTACCGACTATCTCTCCAAGATCCTCTATGGCTTTCTGCAACGCCCTTTTGCATCCAGCTCTTGGCAAGAAACGATATAGCCAAGAAAGGCATGCAATCCTGTCGACAAGATGATGTGGTAACACACCGTAGGAGACCAGGATGGAGAAAGTATCGGCATTTGCGAACGTCGACTCTAATGTATAGATAAGGCCATTGTGTTCTTGGGCGAAGTATATGACGCGTTATATTGTGTTATGCTGAACATCAACATTTTGCCTTGTAATGTCTATATTTCAAAGTCTGGGGCTGTACCTTGCGTATTTCTACAGAGGCACTTTGACTTTTCAATATGGACAAGTCTGTTGAGTTAAAAGAAGCTTCGAGCCCAACGCGAAGACAATGCTCCCAAGTGTCGACTTTAAAACATCATGTCTGTCAGCCAACATCTTAATGCGCGATATAGATTGGACATGCCACTCTCTGGGTGCTAGAATTTTCCTGGGGATCACAACAATGTCTCCATATTTCAAAATATCCTTATATCAACATATAGGTCTAGGTAGATACACGGTCAAATCGATTGCCTTCCGCATCTCGAATTCCTAGATGCAAAATTATCCTAGCTCAAAGTCCTCCATCAATTACAGTAGATTTAAACAGACTCGCGCTTCTTCTCGCTCTCCTGAATCTCAGCCCCGTCCTTGAACTCCTGGGCCTGATGCTGAGCAGTGTCAACGCCGAGCATCTGGGCACCCTTCTCAGTGTGATCAGCACCACCGAAAACAGTATCCATGTGCTCAAGAGAGATACCCTTGGTTTCAGGGACAAAGAAGAACACGAAAACAACGAGCAGGATGTTGACGGCAAAGAAGAAGAAGAGACACTTGAGGCCGGTCTTGGCAAGGAATGTTGGGAAGAACTGTTGGAAAATGGTGTTGGCCACATTCTGGCATTGAGAGGCCATACCGACGGCCTGGGTTCGGACGTTGGCGGAGAAGACTTCACTGGTCCACATCCAGACACCGGCACCCCATGAAGGCTTGTAGAAGAAGCTACAGGAATATGTTAGTGTGCGTTCAAGAAAGGCGAAGAAGCAAGAAAACCCACATAAAGAGGTAGAGCATGACAACAATGCCAATAGCAGTGGGTTCGGTCTTGGGGGTGGGAGTAGCGAGGCCAATGACGGGAACAATCAACATGCAGACAGCCATACCCGCAGCACCAACCATGAAGAGCCATCGGCGACCAAAGCGATCGGCGGTCCACACAGCGTTCAAAGTGAATAGAATACCCATGGTGGCCCACAGAGCGTTGATGAGGTTGATCTTTTCAGTCGAAGTCCAGACTTGCTTGTAAATGGAAGTGGAGTAGGTGTTGAGGGTACCCTGGCCGGTGAGCTGCTGGCCGACGTTGAGGACGACTGCAATACCGAAGCGCTTCCTGACAGAGGGGTCCTTGAAAAGGGCACGGTATCCAGGGCTGATGGCCTCCTTCTCGTACTCGATAGCAGCCTGGATGGCCAGGACCTCATCCTCAACCTCCTCCTCAGTGTCACGGATGCTTCGAAGGGCGGCGCGGGCATCGTCGATCTTGCCCTTCTTGATAAGGTAACGGGGAGACTCTGGCTGGAATGGGAGCAGGACGATGACCAGGATGGGAACAAGGACCTGGAAGATAACAACCATGCGCCAATCCCACTCGCCGAGCTTCTCTCGGTTCTTGCCACAGGCGTAGTTGATCCAGTAGGCAATAAAGGCACCGACCGAGTAGAAGAGTTGCCAGAAGGTCATGACCTGACCTCGAATCTCAGGGGGGGAGACTTCACCGATGTAAACAGGGCCAGCAGCTGGAGGGAGTCAGTGACCAGTCACAGGAGCTGGTGGAAGTATACAACTTACTGAGAGCGGTGCCCTGGCCCATACCGATGAGGACACGGCCGAGAATGAAGACACCAAGCTTTCCCTTGGGGGCAAAAGCCTGGATGATAGCGGCGATGATGGTGATGAAGCAACCAATACCCATACCGGCACGTCGACCGAGCCAGTCAGCCAGGGGGCCACCAATGAAGAAACCACTGACGATAGCACCGATAGTGTAGCATGTGTTGATGAGACCGACAGTGTAACTGTCATTCTTGAGGTCGAGATTGAACCAGTTCAGCCAGTTCTCCGAGGCCTGGAGAGCGTTGAAAACACTGGAGTCAAAGCCGTAGAGCGTCATACAAGACGCAGCTACCATGGCAATGAACCAGTTGTAGACTCTGGTCTTGCTGGGCATGTTGGCAGCGGTGTTTGGCCCTATGCCTTTCTGTTTTTCTCGGGTATCTTTTGTCTGGCGTTGCCGATTATATGACTCAAGAATGAGAAAGGTCGGTCTCAAGAAGAGGCAGAGAAGAGAATGAGGATAGTGGGACGAAGAACAGAGGAGAGAAGGAGTGAAGATGAAGCTTCCCTTGCTATCTTTTTATCTTCGAGAGGAGGAAGGAACCCCCAGAGGCTAGAGCCGTCTTTCTTGCCCCCAGACCCCAGACTATGTCTTTCCTAGGTTAACCCCAGACCCAACCCCAGGATGTGGTTGCGGTTGCGGTTGCGGTTTGCGTTGCGGCTACCTAGGTATGGATGGTTTACGGACGGACGCACCTTCCCCACCATTCCACAAGTCTAGTTGTGTGTTAAATCTGATGTCTCAATTCGAATGGCCGAACTTGCTTTCTGTTGTTGCTGTCTCCTGAAATCTTAACTTGACCAACTGTTCGGCAGTAGAGGCTCACGTTCGTGACCCGACCCCTGGTACTTGACGATAAGGCATTTACCTTAAGCATGTCTATCGGTTTCATGTATATGTACTCATGTATCCCTCTTATCGAACGTTGAGAATTCGCTTAATTATCGTTGTTTCCACTTTTCTAGCACTGAGTCGGGTCCCATCATCCCATCCATCGTTAGAGAGCTTTCACAGTTCAAACCCCCCGCAACTATTGAACGACTTAGCTCAAGATCGGAACCCCCAAAGTTGCGTCCTATTCCCCCACGATTCATTTACCATGTGTCTAAAGAATAGAATTCAGTCCAATGTATCAAAGAAAGACTCCCTTAATTAGACTTGTGATGCTACTGTGCCGTGCCGAGTTCCGTCTGCCCAGGTCGCTAACCCCTGCCATGCCCTCCACCGGCTCGGCGCCTCTGTCAGTTTTGGGTGGCATGCTTAACGCCTGTTGGAGCAATTTCTTCCTGGCTTTCTCTTAGACCTCGACTCTCTCTGGAATTGGCTTCCTTGGGGGAGTGGAGAATGGGGGGAATGTCTTGTTGCGGCTGATGATGGCCGTACCGCGTGGCCAGATGGCAGGGCATCAAAAGCTACGATTGGTGGAATATCTAGGGAAATAATTTCTCCGTCAAAAATAGTCAAAATTTAACTCTGCCCGTGCTAGACCCGTTCTGTGCCAAGCTCCATGTCTCCGCCTCCACGATTCACCCGTGCGGAGTAGACCGCTTCTCGTTTTCCTGGATCTCTTCCCCGCATTGGATTTGCCTTGGATATGGAGAAGAATCTCGGGGAGAAAGCAAATAAAGATAAGCGGTTATTGGGAAGTGATTACTCCGTGATCTTTGGCATTCTATCTAGGTATGCTGCGGCATGCTGCGATTAGTGGCCAAGTCTGATGCATCATCTATACCTTTGACAGCTGAGTCTATCTACACAGCACAGAGAGTCAGGTCACCCCAAAACGTAAGACTCAAGGGTCCTCCACTTGACAACGGCCTCATGGATGATGGATGTAGGTAGTAGACTTGGTCAGGGCGCAGCATGGCTTGGTTGACTCCAAAACTGAACCACATAGCTCCAGCTCCAGCTCCAGCTCCAGCTCCAGTGCTTGCCAAGACATCGACCCCTTATTCAGCCCGATCTTACACCCTTTTACAAGTTGTCATATTGCATCTTGGCCATACCGCTTAGACGACAACAGCAACACACCACACCATAAATCTCAATGCCAAGTACGATCAACCCAGGGTCTCAAGCGCCACTGACTACAGACCGATGCTTCCTTTGTGCAACGACGACACTGGAGTCTACCTTGCAAATGTTTGGTCTTTGCAGAATACCTAGTAGCTATTCTTTACAATTTCCCTCTCCTTGATAGCAGCACAGTTGACGCTAACCGACTCTCTGGCAGGAGTAAGTTCAAACATAAAACCAAATCATGCGACTCCTATGTCCGGGCAGGGTCGGCCGATTGCTTGATAAATGATAGCGAATACTATATTTCTGCCTTGACTCCATCATTCTAACTCCGAATGACAGCATTGTCACCCCCAAACTTTGCGTCTATCCCCATCATTTATTCACTAAACAATGCACAATTGCTTTCGGCTAAATTCCACTCAGTGCAGTGGTGTTCACCATACTTCCCTAACTTTAGCCAATAGGTTCCGTTGCGGGGTTCTAGTCGAGGGTCTGGTTATTAGGTCCAAGTCGTAGAGCCACAGAAGGCATTGCCATTCTAAAATACCTTAGGTAGACTGCCTATTCAATCCTGTCCATGAAACTTACACACCATGAAGCCTCCTGATTTGAAACCGTTCTCCTGGTAATTGAGCCTGGATTCATGCAGCAATAGGTTTCACCCTGTACACGGCTGCTCAACGGACATCGAGAATAATACAAAGTCGGAACCTCCAACATATCGCATACCCTTGCAACGACATAAACAAGTGTTGGGATCATGTGTCAC